CCAGGCGATCTCGTCTTGTGGTCAGCGCGGGAATTTCGAAGCCGAGATCGACTGCAATGCAGTCAGTCAGAAAATCGCAAATCAGACTCTCCACTGGCCCGCTGCAGTGCGTAGCACCGATGCCGATCGCGGGCAAGGGGTTTAATGTGACTGCGGGGACTCTCCTCTAAGTAGTTCCTCGGATCGACGTCGAAGGTCGAGACTTCGGTCGAGTTAGCTCACGAGGCTGCATCGCGTGTTTTTATCGGACAGATTTTTGAGCAGCTCAGGATTCGCCAGCGATCCTACGCGAGCGAATCCGAGGTGTCCACGAGATTGATACCACCATCGGAGGAATTTGTTGCGAAGCTCCTTTGAGGAGAACCCGATTATGGATACCTAGCTCCATATTGGGAAAGTATCCATCTGGATAGTTTCGCATTTCATTCTCTCTCTCTCAATATCTCGTTCGAGAAAAGGAAAAAAGATGAGCGCTTCTCATGTTTCGTTGAAATTTCAGCCAATCGATCATCACGATCATGGTCTCGTTTTAATAAGCCCGCTCCGGGCTCGAAGTCTCTGCTGCGTTGCAGTGTGGACCCGCAACTCTCTTCGCTCGTTCCTTTCTCTTTTTTTTTGGCTCGTCTCCACCGACTTTCTCAACACCTCGCGGATGCCAGGGTCCGAATTGAATTTCTCCGAGGTGGAAGCATACTTGGCGGTACTCTAAAGAAAGGCTGGTGATTAGGGGGTGTCACAGGGGCACTGCGATCGAGCGACTGAATTTTCGCGGCAACGGCACGTATCTAGAGATCAGTCTACTTCTGGTGACAATGTCCCTTCTTTGCTCCGGTTGTCCTGCTATCGGCCAGAATGTTGTTCTGTTTCTATTCTCATCGTCACCGGCGTGTTCTTTCCTTTTTCATGTTCTTGTTGTTGTCGTCGTTGGCGACGGCGGGCAGAAATGATGAGCAAATCGCGTGTGTTTTATAATTTGCGATGGACCACGTCAGACGCAAAGTCCAATGGGGCGTCGAAGACACCGACAACAATGACATCAAGAACACACACACACACGCAGCAAGCAGGCAGGCAGGCGACCGACCGGCAGACAAGCAAAAATTCGACGGCAGAGACGTGCGCTCATGCACGGAAACGTACCGTACGTTGAGGTCCAGACGAGCTCCGTGGGACAGATCTCGAAGAGTGCCCGTCATTGAAACAATTTTCCGGCCCACAGCGCTTATCTATGGCCGCTGTCAGAAGTCTTGGACTAGAGCCGCGGATCCCGTTTCGCATGGAAACCTTTCTCTCATGAAAAGTTTCGATGCGAAAGAGGATCCGATGCCGCGAGAATCGATACATGCGAATTATGAGATATTCCTGCGGTCATAGTTCATTCCTTGCCAGCACCGAGTCCGACGAATTGCGTGCTGGGCTCCCAGCTTCCGTGAGCGGTCTTGGCTCCGGCGAGACAATCCAACTGATCAGAAGCGTTGGCAAGCGAATTGGACAACGGGCAGCATAGGAGAGAGCCATCGAATCCATCAGAAAATATTTGTTTTCGGAAGAGAGGAAACGCTCGTACCTCCAGGATAGGCCCTTGCGGCGGACGCCCGCGAGTAAGGCATGATGTGAGCTGAAGGAATTCAATTTCGTCATTCTCCTACTCGAAGTTCCTTATAATGAAGGAGAATAGAGCTCATATTCGTTGTTGATGCCGCCGCCGCCGCCGCCGCTGTTGTCGCTCGCGCTGTCCATCGTGAGAAGATGCGGGCGCTGTTGTTCTTGTCTGAGGCCCCTCTCATAGTGTTCAAAAAGATCACGAGATACCGGTCGAAGACGGACAACTTCTGTCAGTCTGTCCGTCCTTCGGTCTTCTCGACGTTCAGTCCCTACCTCGGCTCCTCTTCCATTTCTTGTATTGACAGCTTCAGCGAGAGTTCCCTCGTCGATCTCTCATGACGCTGCCCTGGACCACGTCCCGTCGTCGACATTTTTGGCAACGTTGACTAGCAGAGAAGACTGCCGGGCAAACGAAAACAACCGAACAGGCTCCCGCCTCGTGCTCCGCTATCGTGTTCGTCTCACACAACCGAAATGTCAAAAAATTCAAAATCAGTCTTTTTATCCGCGAATCTTGCGGTGCACCATTGCTCGATGGCGCGAGTTGTCAAGCGACCAGCGAAGGGGACGCTGGTGTCGGTAGATCGAGCCCCACGGAACCGTCGGTGCATTGGCCGTGCTGCGTTCCCTCAGGACAAATCCGATGGTTGTCGAGTACATTTTCATGCCGAGTTGAGCCTCCGCTCCCCAGCGAGGGAACGAACGGACCTCGGGCTCTACGCTCTCTGCCAGGCCTGGTCTAGAGAGGAGGAAGTCCTCAATTATCCCATCCAAAGCTATCATCATCGAGTCGCTCCCTTCCGGACGGAACGTTTTCGATCGCTCTTGGCCCTTGTTCGGGAACTCCTCTGCGGAGACTTGAGAGATGTCCCATCCCCTGCTCCCGCTCAAACTGGAATCGCTTGAACGTAGTCATCACGAAACGAATTCTCGAGTGCTCTGATTCCAAAGGGACCAGCCATCTCGCTGGTCGTGTGCCGTTCGTTTGTTTACGCTCACTCCTTCCTTTTATCGGACTCACTCAGTTTTTGTAAAGTCATCCAAGCATCTTAAGCTTAGCCTCCAGCGGGCGGCCATTCGACTCTGACAGCGGAGGAGACAAACAGGAGCGGAGGTGTTTCACTTACCAAAACAATTGTCTGCTCGTGATATAGTCGATGATTGTTTATTGGCTTGCCTCCTCATTGTCAACCTTCGCATACCAGCCCGCCAGCTTACGGGCAGCAGATTGACCGGCCGGCTAGCTGACTGACTGACTTGCCGGCCAGCTAGCTTCGACTGGTCCGCTAGCTGGACGGATGACTTGCCGCTCGAACGGGCGGTCGGCCGGCCGGCCGGCCAACATCGCTCCCAGACTTGAGTGGCAGGGGGAGGATCCGATCTCTGTAGCGGCAGCGGGGTGGATTGACATCGCGCGTTGGCTTTGGGAAGAGGAAGGGATGCAGCGGCAAAAGCAACAACGGCAGTCAACCAAACAGACACACCGAACAGTCAGCGAGAAGCCAGCAAGTTGGACTGATAGAAGGACGGATGCCTCGACGGAGGGACGGACAGACCGGCCGACCAAGCGAACGAACGAGCGACCGACCGACCGACTTACAAACTGACGGACAAACAGACGGACAGATAGATAGATAGACGGACGGACATACATCAACTGTTGAAGTTTTCAAAGATACAGATGACTCGAGGGCATCAAAAGTTTGATTGCACTTCGATATTCGCAGACTGACTGTCGAACATCACACAAGGACTTCCCCGCAGTGGAGGACACGTTTTCCTGCCAGAGTGGAGAGTTCGAGCGCGAACTAGTTTCGCTCCTCGAATCCCGTCGATCGACGCTCGCGCGTTGCGTTTCGAGACCGCTGCGCGAACGGTAGTGACCCGAAAGAGAAAGCACCGCTGAGTGCTGAACGGTGATCGTCAGAGATAGCTCGGCGATGGTGATGGTGCTGATGACGATGATGAGAAACGATCTATATGATCACTTCTTGAACAAGCTTGCTTTCGAAGTATTCCGTAACATCTCTTCTTGTCGCTCTCTCCCCGTCTTCACCAGTCCTCCTTCGTCTTCACGGTCGTCGTCGTCTTCCTCCTCCTCTTCGCCCTACTCGAAGTCGTTGTCTGGGGTTCGTGGGGTGGTACAGCAGACTGGGCGTGATGATAATGATGAAGGCGATGATCAGGGCAGCCAGAGTGGCAGTCGGCGATCTCCGAGCAGGCGGTTTCTCCTCCGCCGCCGCCGCCATCGTCTTCTTCATGTTCTTGTAGTTCTTGTACAAGTTGTCAGAAATAGGTCTGTCCGTCGGTCGGTCGGTCAGCGAATCGGTAGATCTTCTCCCGATTTTGTTCCTTGCCGACCGTACCGCCTGCCCGTCTAGCGAGCGAGTCTCTTAGTCAACGGGCTTCGAGACAGGTGCGTCGACGGCTTCAGTTTCAACCGCCATCGCGCTTTTTCGTCGTCGCCAACGTTGTTGATTCGGGTGGCGTTGTCGACGTATGTTGCTCGGAAGCTGGCGACAGCTGGGTGATACAGTTCGCTATATTCTGATCTCCCAAACACGGTTTGCAGCGAAGTCTAACGTCTGTTTGCGCTGCTCCGTATCTTCCTCGTTCATTTTGCCGTGGGCCGCTCGTGAATCCGCCGTCTGAATATCGCGACGCATAACCGACTCCCGAGCGGACGAGGGAGTCCAAGGGCTTCGCGATGGCTTGTTGGGTCGAACCGTATCCGCGCGTATTCGGTTAGCGAGACGGTAACGCTCGGTGCTCGGTCGCCAGACTTTGAGTACTGCGACAATTGTACCGCAACATACATTTGAATGCGAATCGAGCTTCCACAGTGAGCTCTGTACCCGTTCTTGTTGCGAACGGGGACGAGAGCGGGAGGTGAATAGCAATTCGCTGACCACCCGCGGTATTTTGTATGTTAATTGAGAAATTATACCACATACACACTCGGCGAGCGCGTACACGCACGATTCAAGCAGCCGGTCCGCCTGACCGACTAACACATGGGTACAGAGCGAGAGAGAGAGAGGGGGGATCGCGGGCACAGCGATGAGCAAACAAAACCTGGTTGCCGGCTACTACAATGCCCATCACGTGCGAAAGAGCACACATTGCGCGGCCGGATGCGACTGGTTACATCTATTAGGAGTTGAGCGCCCACCGCTTGGATTCGATCGAATGGATTCATCCGATTCGGCATGAAAATCGAAAGAGCCGGCGCAAAAAACGCCCCCACTCCCTCAGCGGGGCATCGGGGACCATCGGGCGAAATGGATTGATTTCGAAACAGACTCGGTAGTGACGGTCGTACGTCAAGGAGCTCGAGCTCACAATCGGAATGGCTAGGAATCGACAAAGTCTAACCGGGTGTTCTTCTGTTCCAGGTGAAAATATGGTTTCAAAATCGGAGATCCAAGTGTAAAAAGATGTTGAAAGCTTCGCAAAACAACCCGCAGGCAGCGGCAGCAGCCCTCGGTTTATCGCAGCCGGTAACGCCAAACGGTGGTCCGACGACGCCAGGTACACCGAATATGCCGAACAGTGCAGATACCCCCCCTAGTGATGCATCGCCGTCGCCTCAAACCCCGCCTACCCCCTATCATCCATCGGCGCTCGGCGGCGCCTTGGGTCACCACAGTTTGGGCAATGCGCCCACGAATTCGTTAACACCTCCTCCCAATTCGTGGGATATGCCCTCCAAGGCGCCAGCCATGATGCCACACAGCTACATGTCGCAGTACTCCGGATGGTACCATGGGCATGCGGGTGGCGACCCGAACCAGCAGGTGCTCACCTAGAACTTTCCATAGAAATACTAACGGAACGCGAATTGTTTGAAAATACAAACAATGAATGAAGAAAAACACACATACAGTAACTCGCATCACTGCTCGTCAAGTTGCCTTTGCGCGAGCTTTCGGTCCGATCGTCGGCAGCGATCGATTGATCGCGTGCCTGGAAAAGAGAAAAAAAATGCTGCTCTTGTCCGCTGTTATTTATTTCCAAGTAGTCCCGCGACTACGGGACGCGAAACCGCGAAACCGTCTGCGAAAGCCTTAGGTAGTTAGTCAAACACGATGTGAAAATATAATGATGTGGAAAATGATGAGACATAATGAGCAGCAAGACTATGGAAACGATATATGGGTAATACGTCGCCACGACGGTCTCACGTCGAAGACAGCAACAACAACAAAGAATATTCCGCGTCGGTATGGCAACGCAGAGCCCGCAGCGGAATCGATCATCTGCATTCCACAAGAGATGAATCGCTCCGCACTCAAGAGCTACTGTGAGTCGAGCGTATAAATGAAATATCCTCTGCGTAAGAGAGAGAGAACATATAAAGAAAGACATTGTTCCCCGTATCGTCCCAAACGAGACATGTGCGAAGAGTGTAAAGGGAATTAGAGAGTACAGTACAGTGAAACACAACGTGATTGACAGATTTGAAGACGAGAAGGAGCAAGCGAAAATAAACCGAGGTAATTTCAAATTTTGTCGCGAAATCTTTCTTCTCAATTATTATGTAAGGGGAAAGAGGACTCCCAGACGCACGTCGTCGACGACGCGACGCAGGTAGAACGCTTCATGCTTCCAGCTCAATAAAGAAACTCTCTACTCTTCGGTTGAGGAATCTCCATGGCCGGAATTCTGGCATTTCACTTCGGTCGGCGACGACGGCTCTCGGAAAAATCGGCACGAGTCACCGTCGAGTCGAGAATGCTCGAAATTGCATGTATTCGAAATGGCCAGCGTCATGTATCGACTAGGGTGATTTTGCGACCGAGTTCGCCGGCTATCCGAGCTGCCGAGAGCCTCGATGTGATGTCTTCCCGCTCAACAATGCGTGCATGCATGCATTCCTACATGCATGCATACACAGCCATTCCCGCCTACCATTCCGACAAGCTCGACCAATCCAGCAGCGAACGGAGACGTACAACCCGGAGGAGTCGCAGCTTTTTTTCTCCGAAATCGTTCGGAATTACCCCAATTTTCGAATCTTGCTCTGTATTCGAGGCGACAACGATCATGACTTTGGAGCGAGAACGACATGGAATAGCTGCTTCAAGAATTGAGACGACATCTCCACCGAGTGTAGCCTGGCCGACCAAAAAACGGAGACACGGACGGAAGAACATCGGCTTCGTCTAACGAATGGGCTTCTCGACGATCTTGGAGGCGGGAACAACCGTTCATTTTCCATTTACGACGGCATATACGCAGCGTATGACGTATGCACGCGACGGAGCCACCGATTGAAGCGAAACTGTGTTTCAGGTCCCCAAAGACAAAAAAGACGTTGTCGAGCCGATGAACTCGCATGCATTATCATTAAGCGAAGTCCCCACGGCTCCGGGATGCTCCCTCAAGGGGAGACGATCGACGGAAAAAGAGCGGACCAATGATCGATACTCCATTCCGATGGAATAAGTGACTCTCGAATTGATACTTCTCGCTCCGTCCGAGTATAAAGTTCCTTGTTCCTGGCTTTCCCAGGAATTCACCGAGGAAACTTGAGAACATTTGTCGCAGAAGTTGATAATTCGTGTGTATCCGATGCCTCGCCGGCTGTAGTTGTATTATTTATCGTTGGTGTCGGCGGCGGCCGTAAAGGCCTCACTCGTTCTTTTCTGGTAAGTGAGAAGCGGGTGGCCTCGTAATTGCTATCGGGGAGCCGCGAGTTTCTTTCGTTTGAAAGGACTTGCAGGACGGAGGATGCATGTCAGCTGTTCAAAATGAGATCCCCGTAGTAACATATCTTCGACTTTGACAGCAGCTACAACTGTCGATGAGACGCTTGACTGTCTCCTATTCGTAAAATTCATTATCATTGTTTTTCTGAATCACCCCGTCTGATTGTCAAACGTCGGTATTCGTCCTTAAGAGGAGTCGTCAAGTTTTTTCTCCCCGAAAAGCCCTTGAAGGGATTAATGGCCATCAGAACGAGAGTCACTCACAATCAGTCGAATGTTCGCCGTCGAACGACATGTCGAAATGAGGAAAAACAATGAACCGAGACAGATTGCGTTCATCACGTAAGTACAAGAATTTTGAGTAAAAACAAAGAAAAAATTCTCCGTCCGGGTGCTACTATTGTATTTCGAATATGTCCAAGAAGTCCCCCTGCTGACGTTTTATGACTGCTAGTTTTGACCGTGTGCCATCAACTTAGTTTAACCGAGACACGCATATCACATTCTCGACGGCAAGACAATGGAGGTCATTCCGACCGACGACGATTTCGCAACTTCTCCAGGCGATTCGAAGGCGAGTTTCTCTTCACTTTCCTCCCGTCATCCGCAGAAGGAGAATCAACTCGAGGCTTGTCGTCATCCGAGGCTCGTTTTGAAATCGATATCGATAATCACGCCGTGCCGATAGAGACGGACGAGTGAGAGCCGTGAACGCGGCTTAGAGCTCGAAATCCGATGAACGAGGTTGGGATTGCGGGGGGAAGGCTTGGAAGGACGCCCGGGAATAGACACGCTTTCGCGAGCTTTCGATATTCTATTACAAGATGAATAATCTTCTTTCCACTGGTGGGTACGCGATGTTGAAGAAGATATGAAAAATGAACGGAATAAGAAGCACCTTCCCGCCTGAAGACAGCTGTGGCTTCTGAAGGAGAAAATTTCACAAAGGGAGTCAAAGATCAAGGATGCAGTCGCAGCTTCTCTTGGCATTAACAACGAGCGTCTATCAAAAATTTTCCCCCGGAATCCCGATACCCCATCTTTCCTTGGAGAACTTACAAATCATACATGTGAAGACCTCACTAGACGAGAAACCTGATTATCAAGAACGGATGGCCCTTGGACAAGAGGCCCTATATGGTGCCTGGAGAAATCAGCTCACTAGCTTCGCTGCGGAATCATCAGATTTCCTATGAAACATCATGGTGCTGCGGAATTTCCGAATCCAGTGACAGAAACAAGAGCCTGGTCGACCAGGAAAACGACGAACAAATTGACTAAATAATTTCGGAGAAGCCTGCTCATGTTTCGGTGGTCGGCTCAACCCGTCAGAACACGTACATGAGAATACGGAGGGAACTCTCTCCCTGCAGCACGCCTAGACTCCTGGCACGATTCCAGTTTTTTGCAGACACGGATGTTGGAAATGTCCTCATCGTCTGAGCGACAGAGCCGTCGGTACCGATTGAGATATCGATGCCTCGATTCTTGATGCGGTCTCTCCCCACCGTTGCGCGCTCCGCCGGACCGGGATGCGATTCCGCATTTCCAGACAGTCCACCTGCATAAGCTCCAACCTCCACCACGAAAATCATCACAGTCTGCAGCAACGAAAACGACGCTCGCAAGCCCGGAAAAGAGCACTTCTGCGAGGCTCGAAGCATTTCGGGAAGGATTCGCTCCAACGATCGCCGAGTCTAATCCCCAGCATCTGAGCGAAGATTATTATCGTGAATAAGGCATCACCTTCACTCCTATTTTCCGAAAACGTTTTGTAGTATCTGACTCAGTACTTCGTGCTCATCATCAATTTTCGCTCCGGAATTCGCTGCGAGATACCCATGATATTCTTTTAAATTCTCCGCTCCTTCGCGAGAAGTTTTTTGGAAGACTAAGTTTTCGGTGGTTTTCTGCCTTCTCGCTCGTTGCAGCAATTGCTCACCGGCAACTTACCTCAGGCTGGTTTCTTTCTTGCGGAGCTCGCTCATGTTTTAATTGCTGCCGCTGCGGCCGCAGCGGCTGGAGCTTTTCACTCGACTAGACGACCGGCGCATGCGGGATGACGCCGGCAGCCGCTATTTCAATGGTGCTTCCTTCAGCGCCAACAACTCTGTTCCTTTCTGACAATGTTTTGAGCAAATTCTGGTCGTTGCGCGCCCGCCGTTTCGTCGGGAGCTCAAGCCTCCCCGAAATGACCCACTGAACGAATAGCAGCGGCTTCATCGGCGGCCGCGACGGCTCCCGCGGCACAAAACAGAGGCCTGGATATCGCAGGCACTCGGTGTCTTTGACATGTAAGTATAACATTCAGTGAATCGTCCCGTGTCCGTATCAGTAGACATCCGTCCATCAAAACAGGATCTCCTTCAGAATCTCCTCTCCCACCGCCAGATTCCTTTTCCGTAGTAGAGTCTCTTATCCGACTGCAATCATGCGGTCCACCTGCTCTGAGCTCGAGCTCTTTCCGTGGAAGCCTAGAATATGGAGGACCCCACATGAGATGATCGCGTCATTCTTCAATCTAGTTCTGCGCGACGTCTGTAGATCCATATTGAATCATGAGCGCGGTCTAGAGAGAACAATTGAGGAGGAAATCCGTCGCGGATTGGGCTTACTCTTGATCCGTCCTCGATTGTGGTCGAGGTGATTGCGGCGCAACCAATTTGAACATCAGTAGTTTCGGACCGTATCGTTGACTGGTGGGTTTTCTGGTATATACGATGGTGAGTCGAACGAATCTTGTTGTGAATTCAACTCATTTTGTGGAACAAGTCTGTCACTCACTCAGTTTGTCAGACACTCTATTGTCTCTGAGTATGAGTAGGTTCATCTGGGAAAAGAGTCGCGACAATTAAAACTATTTATCTCAGTCGACAGCCGCAACGGCGGCACAATGCAATTTTCTGTCGCGAGTCGCGACATTCCATTGGTGAACTCCTCTGTGAGCGCTAAACGTCTAATGATTCCGCTGTCTGGAGCTCTCTCAGGAGGCGATTCCGATTTTGTACTTCCCAGCTCATACATCCAGCATTCAGTTTTCTACGTTTCCCCGGGCATATCCGGCTCATGCCGAACTCCGGAGGAGCTTTCTCGTACGAGCAGCCTCGTGGAGTCAGCCCCGTGGCTCCCTCTGCTGGTCGATGTCGTGTTTGGTTTCCGACTTGTCCCCCGATCTCCACCACAACAAGGGCCACAGCGCCGCGTTCCAAACATCGAGTTTCTCGCCCGCCGTTTGAGCCGCGTGCTTCTCGATCTACAAACTGTGCAATTTCGTTCTAGACACCGACAATGAGCTTCATCAGGGAAGCGGACGATTCGAAGAGACCACTCTCAAGGGTAAGCGAATCGTTCAGAAAAAGCCGGTGTCGAATCCCTGATCCATCGGAACAGAGTCCCACTACCCCACGCGACGCGGTGGACCATCCCTCCATCAGCTGATCAAAGCCATGAATTCAGGAACAGCCGGAGGATTTATAATTGCATGTTCGATCGTCACTTCCCGATGCCCCGCTGTGAAGTGACGTTGATCAGCTGATGCGTGTCTCTCGGGGTTGTTTACGACGCGAAAGGAAAACAGAAGACGCACGCGTGTTCTCCTGTTCCTTGCCGCCGATATTGAATCGCCCAGGACTCATTCGAAAACTCACTCGTGGTCGGGGAACACGCTCCCTCGTTTCGGAGCTCGAACACGGTTTCATCTCCTACTTCAGTGCGAAAACCACTGTGAATGGGCCGCGTCAGGATTCTCGCTGCGGAAAAAATGCTGAGTCCAACACCGCCGATTAATTTCTAGGTGGAGCTGCACCTCCATCTGGATGGTTCCATCCGATACAGCACAATATGGGAGTACGCGACGTGAGTATGCTGGTGCTTCGACTCGTCCCGATCTATGCGGGAGTTACGCAGGGCATTCCGACGTTCGAATCTTGGCTGACATTTTTCAGGAAGCGGAAAGCCGATATCGGTGTCAAGTCGGCAGACGGCGTACGTCGATGGCTCCAGAAAACAACCTCCACAACTCTAGCGGACTTCTTGAAAGATTTCCGTACAGTTTCGGCCCTCTTCGCCGACGATCCCGAGGCCTGGACCCGTATCGCCTACGAGCTCTGTGAGGATCAGGCCCGGGACGGAGTCGCCTATTTCGAAGTCCGTCATGGTCCACAGCTGTTGCTCAGTGCGAGTTCACGGTATTCGGGCAGCGATGTCGTTCAAGCCGTTCAGAAAGGCTTGGACGAAGGCAAACAACAGTTCGGAGTAAACTCGAGGCAGATCTTGACCTGCGTGCTCGAAAACGACGACTGGGCCAGGGAAATCGTTCAGTTGTGCCAGAAGTACAGAGACATTGTAGGAGGGATCGACATTGCCAAGAATGAAACCATCCACGCCGGTTTTACAAAGACAGAAATTGAAGTTTATCACTTGGCGGAAAGAGAAGGCATCAATAGAACTGCCCACGCGGGGGAATCGGGACCTTGGAACTCGGTTCAGGCGGTGATGGACACTCTGCATTGTACACGGGTCGGACATGGTTATCGGGTCTTCGAAGATCCGTCTGGCAACTGTTACAACCAGGCTCGAAAGCAGAATCTGCATTTCGAAGTGTGTCCCATTTCGTCCGTCTTGACAGGTGGTTGTCCGCCTTGGGCATCGAAACACGCTGTCGTGCATTTCGCCGAAGATAACGCCAACTTTTCCATCAGCAAAGACGATACTACAATAACCGGAAGCACTCTCGACGACGAGTACAAGTTCCTGCAGTCGTTGGGATTAACCGAGGCTCACATCGTTCGTGCCGTAAGTAAACCGTCTTCCGGCAGGGGAAGAATGTACGCATACATATATCAGCGATGGAGTTGTTCCTAACGAGCGGATGTGGAAAATTCTCAGAACTTTAACGCGGCGCGCAGCTGTTTCCTGCCCGTACAAGAGAAGAAGGAGCTGATTCATCATCTTCAGCGGACCTATGGAATACAGAGTAAATTTTAGGGGCAAAGAGAGGCCGGAAAACTACGACATTCTGAAGCTTTCCCCTGTTTTTTCCGTGGGAAAACAAGCTCCGTGAAACTGTGCTACCCGAGCTCTGGGAACATCGTTGCGATTGTGATGCTTGTGTAATGCTTGCCCGCTTGCGGGGATGGACCATTTCATACGTGAGACGTTCCGGATTTCAACGAAAATCTGTGAGGCTGCAATGCGACGCCCCACGCCGTGCTAATCTCAAGCCGCTTTTTAATACTCTCCCTTCTGGACCGCCAGTCTTCCGGAGATACTGAAATAACGGCTAGCAGTGTTCATCTTAGTGTATTTCGACAGGTGGAGATTAACTCCCGGCTCAATTGAAACGACCCTCCGATTTCGGGGGATGTCCGCGGACAAACGGCTCGAAATAAAATCTGACGATGGAATTATTTTTGAAATGAATAGATGCAGTTGCGCTCAGGGATCGGATATCGAGTAACTGTTGCAGAGGAGACACGACTGAGTTGTTTCATGTCGGGCTCGAAAGTAAAGAAATCATCCATTTGACACGTGACAAAATAATCAGGGGTTGTCGGAACGCTAGGCGCCACCACACTAATTACTGCAGTCATATGATTATTGATAATTATATATGTGCTTCTCGCGTTGTTCAGGTTATCAGGGTGTTGTCGTCCGAAGTGAATCAACAGTCAATCATCACACGAGCAAGAATAGGTTGAACATTGCTTTATTGGAGGAACACGACGATTCTTCGTCCAGCTTTTATCTGTGTCGATTGGGTTAGAGGAATCTATAAAAATCATTGACGTACTATATGCAAGCTCTGTACACAGCCCGAAGGATCGAAATGATTCGTGCTCAGCGTAGGAAGCTGACGGTGGCGGCGGCACCCATCATTTCCCGATCTGAAACTGAACCAGGAGCGATGAGTCCTCTCTCCGCAGCAACAAGTGCCGAGTCTCTCCCTGGAGATATATGTATCATCGGCAATGAGGAAAAATGAGTCGTGGGTTGCTGGGGGAACTACAATCATTAGGGAAATTAGGGAATAGGTGACTCAAACACTGTTTACTGAGTTGGATATGCAACTGGAGCGGATACAGTTGGCTTCATCCAAAGACATGTTGTCTCTCAATGTTCTCTGGAATGGCAGAAAACGTGGAATGATCTGGTGAGCCGAGCATGTTTTTTCATGGGGCCTTCATTGCTGTGAGGTCGGATGTACGAAAGATCTATCCACTCCAGAAGAGTCAGGACACACTAATTCTTGAAAGCCCGCGGAAAATCATCGGAACTCACGGTCGCGGAGCATCGGCTGATCTGTACAAAGGATTGGTATGAGTCGAGTAATTATTTCCTAGGGGTATCATCATGGAAGTGAGCTTTGAGCGCAGAGCTTTCTCGTCCTGGGGGAACTTACGATCGAGAGGTAGGCCATGTAGTTGCAAGTGAAGCATCCAGACTTGAAGAGAAGAGACACCAATGACTGTTTCATAAGCGGTAACCCCCTCGGGGATACTCGATTCTCCCCAGCATCACTTACCTGCCATGTCGATGTTCCGTTCGCATTGAGGCAGATCGTCATCGGCGGATAGCGCTGAAATGTATTCGAAAGAACGCGGGTCAGAATCGTCTGCTCAGCTGTAAACAACAGCCCATGTGCGTCAGTGTACGGCGGCGCGGAACATATGATCGGAGAATGTTTTCTTCTGACTTGGAGCGTTTCTCGTAGCTTCGGAGCACCTCGGATAGCTTCCTCGAGCGATGTACTCGTGACGTCTCCAGCCCCTCGCAGCGCGACAGGTCCCTGACCTACTTCGCTTGAGTCTGCGTGCGCGGCGCGTCCGAGGAGAATCATTTTCGTTCTGTGTTTGTTCATTCGTTCACGTATGGAGCAAAGTTTAGAAGCGCGAGCAGTGTCGGAGGTTGTGATCAAAATCGATGACTCGGAGGACGCTAGACCGGAGACGGAGCCAGAATCCGACCGAGTAGAAGACGAGTCCATGACGGATGAAGTTAAGGTGATGAACGAGGCTAGAGATTCGCAATCACCGGAGACGTGTCCCATCGCGGACGAAGCAGTCTGCCCTCCGTCTCAATCAGCTGATGTAGGGACCTATAACCCACCGCGATTCGACGTGACGCCAACCCTAGTGTACACCGACGTTTTTGAAAACTTCACCAAAGGAGTGAAGTGGGCGAGCAACGGCGTGAACTTCGCTGTTGTGACTGACGATAATCAGATCCATTCTTGGAAAACCGTGGAGGACCTGGGCAGGTATTTTGTTCCGGACAAAATTCTGACGGAGCGTTTGACAACGATCCGAGAACCCCAACCGATAAATGACTTCGCGTGGCACCCGGCCCACGATAGGAGTTCCTTCGTGACCACCTGTAACACCCAGCCCTTGCATTTATACGATGCAACAACGGGGAAACTCCTCTGTAGTTACGTAGCGAAGAATCATCTGGATGAACTCGTCGCGGCGTACTCAGTACAGTTCTTGAGGTCCGGAGAGAAAGTCTGCGCGGGTTACAAGAAATTTGTGCGGATTTTCGAAGTCGAGTACTGCGGACGATCAACGGAGGTGAGCACGTGGAAACAGTATCAAGCCGGCATCGTCTCAGCCATCGACGCCAGTGAAGTCGCTGACAGTCTGATGGCTGTCGGAACCTACTGCAACAGTGTTGCACTCTATGATCTCAGAACTGGGAAGATATCTCACGATCCGGTTGTCGGTCATAAAGGCGGAATCACCCAGCTCCGTATGTCCGCTGACGGTGGATTGTTGTACTCTGGCGCGAGAAAGGACAACGTCATCCAATGTAGAGATTTGAGAAAGTTCGAGGAAGTTTTATACGAGTTTCCGAGGGTCTGCACGACGAATCAGCGGATGCACTTCGATCTCTGCTACGAGGAGGATTATCTGTGCACAGGGAACACCGATGGAAGCTGTTACCTGTGGGATCTCCGCAATCTCAAAATGTACGAAGAGAATAAGTGCGAGCCGAATCTGATTTTCTTGCCACATACAGATCTACGAAAAACCCGATCCAGCGCTGCGAACGGGATCAGTTTTCATCCTTGGGCGCCACTGTTGGCCTCGAGCTCCGGTGGAAGGTCTACGACTGTATGGGACGAGGAAACAGAGCAATGTCTCTGGACGAAAGCATCCGAATATGCGGTGAAATTATGGAAGTTTCCTTGCTGAGTGTCCTTCTTTAATTCATAAATCGTGCCAGGATCGTCGTTCTGCGATGGCGCGCTTCTAATCAAGTGATCTCACTCTACCGATGGAGTTCCCGATGTGAATAAATTAGTCTGGTTCCTTTTCCTCGTTCCGTCTGATTCGCCTGCGACGTCGCCGCCGCCGACAACAACAAATGAGAGCGTTCGGGGAAGCGAATGTTTTCCGCGGCGAATCACAAAAGAAATAGTGAGTGTTCTCTCAGGGAATATATCACGGCGTCTTCTTTTCTTCGGGAACGTCTCTTCGGATTCGACTTCGAGTCGCAACGAAGCGACGGTGTGATCTCAAAATGTTTTGAAGCGAGGTTATCGGCTTGAAATTATCCCATCTTATCAAACCTGCTTGTGGACAATCGAAGAGATTCGGGCAAAGAATGGACGGACAATCGTCACAGTGTGTTTGCTTTGGGGATCATAGAAGAGGCATTTTCTCTCACTCAACCCGCCACTAACGTCGTCGGGTCCGTCAGAAAAAAGACCTTGGGCCCTTGCCGTTGAACAGCGGGCGCCCTCTGTGGTCTGATATGGAAACTGTCTAACCTTGCCATCATAGAAGCTTCGGTTGCTTATTTCGAATAGTTGCTCGGCATCAGAAACAGGGAAAAACTAATTCATGAATTGAGAGCTCATCGAGTATGTCTCTCCGGATGGGCGTCGCCGATGATTCCTCAAGCCAATGGATATCTCTCCGGAGGTGCGGGTGGGCTCTTGAAATTTCTAGTGATCTCTCCACCCGCCTGATAATCTACCCTTACGGTCACGTAGTGCGTGTCGCTTGTTGACTGCCCGGTTGACCTCGCGAACGAGCAGGCGACCGAACGCGTGTGTATCGTCGTCGCGAAAATGCCGTCTCCGCAAAGCGTGAAAACGCAGCCGTTCGGCGATCAGAAACCTGGAACAAGTGGGCTTCGGAAGCCGACGAAGACGTTTTTGCAGCCGAATTACACCGAGAATTTCGTGCAGTCGATCCTGCTCTCTTGCGGTGATGCACTCCGAGGTTCCACGCTCGTCGTTGGAGGTGACGGGAGATATTTCGTCAAGCAGGCTGCAGAAAATATCATCAGAATGTGCGCGGCTAATGGAGTTTCCAGAGTGATTGTCGGTGAGAACGGCATTTTCTCAACACCGTGCGTCTCGGCTATCATTCGGAAAGAGAAAGCACTAGGAGGAATCATTCTGACCGCCAGTCACAATCCGGGTGGCCTAGACAATGACTTTGGAATCAAATTCAACACGGCCAACGGTGGTCCGGCGCCGGACGGAGTCACAACGAAAATTTTCGAGATATCGAAAAGCCTTGCAGAATATAAAATCGTGAACGACCTCAAGATCGACGTCGCTGTCGTAGGTAAATCCACTTTCAAAATCGACGGTTGCGGAGACTTCGTGGTCGAGGTCGTCGATTCGGTGTCGGCTTATCTCGACCTCATGAAAGGGATCTTCGACTTCGGAGCGATCAAGACGCTGCTGAGTGGAGACTTCAAAATACTGATCAACTGTCTGAACGGAGTGACTGGACCGTACGCCACCCGCATCTTCGTCGACGAGCTCGGAGCTCCGGCGTCTTCCGTCGTGAACTGCATTCCGCTCGAGGATTTCGGTGGAGCTCACCCGGACCCTAATCTGGTTTATGCCAAGGAGCTCGTGGACGCGATGGCCACCGGGGCGTACGACTTCGGAGCGGCTTTCGATGGGGACGGCGATCGAAACATGGTATTAGGCAAGAACGCCTTCTTTGTCTCTCCGTCCGATTCTCTGGCGGTGATTGCCGACAAGGCTGAGCAATGCGTACCGTACTTCAAGTCTGGAATCAAAGGGTTCGCTCGATCGATGCCCACCGCGGGTGCCGTGGACTTGGTCGCGAAGAAAAAGCAGAAGCCCATTTACGAAGTTCCCACCGGCTGGAAGTACTTCGGAAATTTGATGGACGCCGGTCTCTTATCGCTCTGCGGCGAAGAGAGTTTCGGGACGGGCAGTGATCACATCCGAGAGAAAGATGGAATTTGGGCGATTCTTGCGTGGCTGTCGATTCTCGCGAAGACGAAGCGCAGCGTACAAGACCTCCTCCACGATCACTGGGCCGTTTATGGACGGAACTTATTCACTAGGTACGACTACGAAAACTGCTCAAGCGAAGACGCCAACAAACTCTTCGAACATCTGGAAAGCCTCATCGGCGACGAGACCTTGCTGAAGTCCGAGTGGAGAGCCGGAGGCAAATCCTATCGAATCGCCCTCACGGATAACTTCGAATACTCGGACCCAGTTGACGGGAGCGTGGCCAAGAAGCAAGGCATCCGCTTTGTCTTTAAGGATGGCTCGCGCATCGTATTCCGCATTTCCGGGACCGGGAGCACTGGTGCTACGGTACGTATGTACTTGGACTCCTATGAACCTGAGCTTGAGCGTTGCAAGCAAGACGCTGCCAAAACTCTGAGGCCACTGGTGGATGTGGCCTTGAAAATCTCCTCCCTAGAGACCCATCTCAAGAGGGACAAGCCGACGGTCATAACTTGAGCTTCTCGCTCGATTCCATTTTGAAATTCAACGGAGCTTCGTGTGCAATGAGCCAAAACTTGACTCTACCTCAGTCAAGTCTCAGAATTGCTTCGATTTCACGGAATTCTTCGAAATGGAGGACAGATTCTGCCAAAGTCATACTCAACAATCGATGCAATGAATAAACTCAGAGTGGCATTTTGATACAGTTTATCTTCATTCGGGGCGGGGATCTCCGCCTCCATTAATTCCAGACACTCTCTATGATGAATCGATCACTCCCTGAGACCACGAGTTTGGTACCGGGGTCGATTATTAAAGAAAGCTAGCGCTATATTGAGCTTCCTGAGCCGATCGACAGGGTCTCTGGCCCGCGTACTCTGATAGTTCCTCAATGAATAGTTCCTCTGATAGTTCCTTGCCGGTAATTCATGGGGACTTGAGAATCTTCGACTTACCGCTCCGAAAAGGATACCTCGAGCGAACTGCACTTTGACGAGAAATAGCAGCAATACTCCCAGGCAGAGATTGTACGGGAATTTCGCCATGATCCGGTGCTAACCACGAGACACTGACAATTTGTCCTCTATAGGCGGCGGATGACGGTAGACTGGAGTCGCGGCGACACGTCGCTTCATGGCCCATCAGTGAGAGTGTCATTTTATGTTTGATCAGCGGTGGACGCGAGTTCACGCGACACATTGTGGATTCCAGGCCGACAAATAAACGATCTGAGGAGTGTTTGAGTAGCTCGGAGGATTTGATGATTCTAGCCTACATTACTTGTCGCGTGATTCATATCTTGCATGGCGTACGGAATTCACAGTAGGGGCGGGTTGAAGGCAGAGGAGCTCACAGAAATGGTGCGGTCAAGGCATAGCTCCAGCGGGTGCCATGTCTATGAGAATGCTCATTCCGATCGAGATGAGATCCGAATAATTGCCGCTGGGGATGCATATTCCGAAGAGAAATTGGAGCCCACAAAGAGCGGTTGTTTTCTCCCAACATGCCTCTTGACCTCCCCGAGCCGTCCTTGAGTTGATCAGATATTCCGTTGTCGACATGAAATGTAGATATTGCGTGTGGAGCATTCAGCCGGCGTTCATTCGACTCGTTCGGGTTACTCTCATCAACTCGTCAGAGAGCGAGGCGTCCCTTAATGTTCGGGGGACATATCGGTGTCCGAGGATCGCGAAGGTATGAAGGAGGATTCGCCTAATCCCTTCGGAAATGTGTCGACTCGATGCTTGAAATAGGTTGATGATGTTACTCGTCACCTTCAGTCGTTTCAAAAGTGGGGCACGGAGCAACGAGAGACAGCTGGACGACCAACTCCCAGGATCACCCACTGAGCGGAAGCCGCTGCCGAAACAACGATGCCGGGGCTGGGCAAACAAGTGGCCGCTTGCCAGACTTGAAATCGTCAAATAAATAAGACAGCAAGCCGGCAAAGTAGAACGACTGCCATCCGCAAGGTCTTCGATCAACTAATGATGATATCCTAGATTCACAGAAGGACTCGAATAAGCTCGGAAGCCCCGCTCGCAAGACCCCATGAGATTCTTCCCGAAATTTCTCCGATGGGCTTGCGGTATTTCCATGGCGGTTCTGGGCCAGTCGAGCTTTCGTTGCTCCATTCAGAATTTCTGCTGGGATTGGCATATAATCATCTGCCGCCGCGTGGGATGATTGGACCATTAAACAAATCGTCTATCCTCTTTCGTATCGACGCAAGGTCGGGATGAGGAGTCTTCTCAAGCCGCATTTCGGCACCTCAGGATTGCGAAATATCCGAGGAGCGAGTCAAATTGTGGCGACTCTGATCCAGTGCCAGAGTTTGTCAAGGATCTGAGGTCTTGGAGTGAGTTAGCTGGCAACCCCGATATCCGGCGCGGCAAGCTTGTCGATGCGGGTAAATTCCTCGACTGTAAGTCGCGAGCTTCTCAGCAGTTGGGGAGTCCGCTGGGGAAATCACTCCGAGTATGCAGGACTGCGGGACTCCGTTGAGGGGAAAGGCGCTGACCCTGTCGTGAGTCCAGGGTTACACAGGAGTTCGAAAGGCGCGCTACAACACTCCTCTCGCTCCTCAACTCTCCTTTGACGTCACACTCCGATTGCCCCACACTCGAGTGACGGCGCTGCTGGTCGTAGCACAGCTTCCTCAGTCCACGGCAACAGCTTCCCGACTCTACGGGAGCTGCGGACTGCTTGGGTGAGTTGAATTTTCTCGATTTGTTCCTTCTTACAGACATCTTGATCAGTGTTCTCTGAGTCTGTTTGGGGTCGCTGAGAGACGTCAAATATTTGTGATACTGCGCGGATCGCGGACAACTCCGATGAAAGGTCAAGTGAAAACAAAACGACCCCCTGCTCACATGTTCGTGTCGTGAAACGATGAATCGTCTCCTCGAGATTTTTCTGCTTGTCATTCTCCGAAACTAGGTTGATTGTACCGAAAATTCATTTATATTTGACCGAGAGGTATCTGAGCAGGCTCGCGAGCATCAGCGAGTTTCAGCGAGCATATGGTCCGTTGTTTCCGCTGTACCCGAGACGATTTCAAATCAAAATAATCAATGGTCACGGATAATGGAAGTGAATCAGAAGCCCAGATCCTCTCAGTTTCTCTCTGAGCATGTCCCGCTTTGTCACCGAATCGATCTCGACAGAACCTGGGGCGATGCTTGCGCAACATGTGGTTGCGCAATATCTGCGCCGGGCACGAGGAGAACGAGAGCGGAGTCGCCCTCCTGATTTCTGGAACAGTCTTGCATCTTCCTCCACGAATCCTGCGCGCAGACCATGTTAATTTTCCGCGGCCATGGGCTGATCTCACCCACAACTGGCATCCAGCAACAACTGTCTCCACTGACCGGAGTCTCCGGTCGGTGGACACAGTGGATTAGTCTACCTGACGTCAGGCAAATCGCGACGAAAGATTGTATGAGACTCCCCGAGACTGCGATCCGATGCTGTAGCGGACGACTCTGAATCCACCGATGGATTTCACGTCATCGTAGGATCCAATCTTCACCGGGGAGCGGGGCAGGAGCTGAGGCAAGACTTGAGAGTTGTTTTGATCAAATTGCAGTTCGGAGCAATGGCATTCTTGCCAAAAACCCTAATCCTGCTGGGGCTTGCGCTCTGCTCCAGCGGCGCATCGGCGGAATATGTGTCAGAAGCCGATGAGATGTTTCTCCAGCAGGTATGTTCGGAGAGAAGTAACTGTTTTTTCTCTCGGGTTTCTCTCATTCCCGTTCATTGTAGGTTTCGTGCTGGTTCTATGTATTCGTGTGAGTGTCTGTCTGAATTCCTCTTCAGCAGATGCTATCGCATGCGGGTAGTAGGTTCCATGCACGCTACTCGAGACATAGAATGCAGAGCCACGCACGCTTAACACATGATATGAATCTACGAATGTTCGGTCGTCACAGCAATGTTCACATTCTTCAGATGCTGGACGAGCTCACTGGACGGCAAAATCAGGGGCCGCAGGACGACACGGCCTATTTGAAGGACGTACCTTCCGACGACGAACATATGTATAGGGACCGAAAAGAAGGTCAGATCTCCGTCTACAACTACGGACCGTCCATCAGGTGAGGATTTACTAGCTTCGGTTGAAATTACGGTGAGCTCCTGCTCTCCATAGAGGACGGCTCTCGGTTTCGGAAGCCGCGGGAAACGCGAGATCCATGCAGGTATCGCTAGGATCAGTGTCTACCTATCCAGTTCACTAAGCAATGATTGCCGGCGCGGCGGTTCCTGGCTTCGCTGATCGATCGATCAATCAAACGATCGACAAGCTACGCAACCAGCAGTCGCCCGCTTCACGTTTAATGATAGATGGGTGCACTGAAGTTTTGAGAGGGTTTACACGATTCGGTGTCAAGCCACATCATCGGAGCGAAAATGTCGAGAGAGCTTCTGGGAAGTGTTCCTAGTGACAGGGATGTTTCTGCGGAGGAGAAACTCGTTGGAGTGTCATTTGCCTGTTGGGGATGTAACGATCAGCCGATGACACTTCCGTGGAGCCGAGAGCCGCTGATCACGGCCTCCGAGCCCGTCGAAGGTGGAATTTTGCAGTTTTCTTTTCGACTGTGACATATTCGCCCGTATCTACGAAACGAATCCCTGAGAAGGAGGAGTCGAGCAGTTTAGAGAAAGGGATATCGATGTCCCGTACGAGGTACCGCGTTCAATGATCGGCAGCCCGCCTTGTCTTCCCGATGTCAACACTTCAGTTCCGGTAGAATTGGTTTAGATCGGAAAAACATCTGCAGATGTTTCGCAGTGAGGCTAGATACGAAGTCACGTATGAGCGGAGTACGATCGGCAGGTGGACAAATAGTACAAAACGAGGGATCCCGCTTACTCCAAGTCAGCCGGAGATAGCAATTATCTGAAAACGGCTCTGCTGGCAGAAGAGTCTTTTTGAAGATCCGCGCCACGATAATGCCGCTACCGACTTGTCGGCAGAGCAGTGAACAAGAGAGAATTATGCGCCGAAAAGTTTCATCACCAGCGGAGGAATCCACAGAAAAATTCCAGTATAGTGCATAATAACAATCAAAAGGGAAATAAAACCCATGATAATGACGAACAAAGCAGCTGCGTGTGAGACTCTCGCGGACGCCGGAGTTTTGACTCAAACAAAGCGATGTTTGTTCAAAGGAGCTGGTTGCAAGTGGCAAATTTGCGCAAGCTTCCTTTGGCTCCTGGAATCCTACCAATATCCATTCCAAATGAATAATTTTCCGGATGAAGGGTTCCGAAGGATCATAGTTCGAGCTCGGTGATACGGCATAGACCATTAAATCGGGATATGCATACAGAAAAAATGATGACTCCTGGTGTCTTCGGAATCTCGGGACGGGGAGCGAATCCTTATTCTGGAAAGGGCAGGCGACCAAATCCATATAGCCTGAGCTTGAAGTGTTGTCATTCGCGATGCTTCCTCGAAACGAATAGTTTCGCAGATTGATCGCATGATGTTCCGAAATTTTTCGTCCGAGCAGAAAGTCAAGACAACTATGCACAACGGGCAGATCGACTTTCTCCGGTGAGACTCATACTGGCCCGCAAATAATTATAGCTTTGCGCAGACAGAGAATGATTAGTCAAATTTGATTGACGACAGCCAATTCTCTTATATAAGTCGGCATTCGTGCGCCAACGATCAGATGTAGCCTTTGATACAAACGATGGAACCGTCCGTCGGTCGTCTATTCCGGTACAATGATCCTTGACGATGTCGCCGCTGCCGCCGCCGTCCTCTTCTGTGTGGGGCTCAAACAACGGTAACTTCAAAACTTGATGAATTTTTCACGTGTCGTTTCGAGACGAGTCGGGTCCTTCGACGTCACGTATCTCAAGGATACCGCGATAAACGAGACCCGCTCGAAGCAGGCGCCAGTATTCCCCGACGAGTGGTGATTTTGGCGATCATCGTGGCACGATCCGTGCCACTGACATTTTCGGTCGTTTAGCTACTGTTGACCGAAAATGAGGGGGACACTCGCTGAAGCTTGTTCTTCTCCGTCTATTGAGCTCGAAAAACAAATCTGTTCCCGTTTGATGTCTTCACCGATAATAACTCAGTACGTTCTTTTTTCTCTTTGCTCACCGAAGGGACCAGGAGTATTTGGAACACAGTTCCCTCTGGGGACATCAGTATGTCGCCGGAGGCGCCGGTGAAGGCATTCAAAGATTGAAACCCGACGGAAGTGGCCGAAACGTTCAAGTGAGTTGCATGATTCCCTCGCATGCAGCACATACGAATAGGAAGTGGAGCTCATCTGACTGGGATAAAAATTTCCGCAGGTGGTCAAGTCCGACGCAGTGCTCCCAGCTTACTGCAACCCACCGAACCCTTGCCCCATCGGCTACACCGGTGAGTTGCCCTTCTCGATCGCCGGAGCTCGCACTTTTGAGTTTCTACATCGCACGAGAGAGTTTGTAATTGATAATTGGGTCCTCCAGCCGACGATGGATGTCTCGAGGATTTCGAGAATACGGCTGCGTTCTGCAGAGAATTCCAACAGCAGCAGGAATGCATGTGCGATACTGAGCACATGTTCGACTGCCCCGGATCGACTAAAGAAGACGAGGTCAACACTCTCGCTCAGCAGATATCCAATGAGGGTCTTGTCGAGTCCGCGCTGAACAGGATCGCGGACAAATTCGGAGATAAGGAAGTTCCGGTAAGCCTCTCTACGCTGACGTGAGCGTCGAGGAATCCGGAGAATTACGATCATGAATACTGTCACTTTCGATGATCCAGGTGGAGGGACAACACAAATCACTGGTCGCGAAAAAGTTTTTCAACAAGGAAACTCACCAAGAGTACACCCGTATGCTTTCCGAGAAAAACAAGGACGAAGAACGAAAAAGTCGCGCGAAACGCTTCGCTGTCTTTGTCAACGACAGGAACCACGAGAACTCCACATCCGAAGAGAAGGTGAGACTCAATCATCATCGATTTCGCAACGTCGGCGTCGGGTACTCTGCTAGACGTTCGCTCCGAAGGTTGACAGCATTTCCTTCAGCAGGCGAAGACCGTGCCTCCTGCTCTGAAGATCAATCCCTATCTCCAGGGTGAGAAACTCCCTGTCGTAGCGAAGAAGGGATAAGATGGATATCATTTGATTCAAGTCAGTCGGAGGTGATGGCGATGGAGCCGACCCTACCAGTTTTATCATCGTTAACTGTTATGCTTGTAGTAGAGTCCTTAGAGCTGCATTATCGATATTTGGAACAGCTATAAAATTGTAGCTCAGAAAAAACTACATTAACCCATTTTCTTGTATCGGGAGGCTATGTTGTTATACTCAGAAGAACCTCAGCGATTAAATCGATTCCGGATGAGAATGACCGAATTCGGAGCTGACTCAAAATTTCGAGTAGCCCTTTAGTGGAAGTTCAGCCGGAGATAACCCGCTCTTGAAGGAGGAGCGCGCGTAAGTTATTCGATGGCGATTTAGCTTTAAGATAATGACCAATGCCGCGTGGTGGCATAAGATTTCATACAGGACATGTTGCAATGCCATACGATAGCTTTCGATGCCATACGATAAGGTTCAATGCCATACGATAGAGTTTAATGCCATACGATCGTATACGTAAGCATACTTCAACGGATTAGAGATAAGAATGCGGAAGACGAAAAACTCCATTACATCGGTTGAATCATTGCCTAGGTATTGATTTGCAGGATTATTATCTCGAGGAATCGAGATAGAGACGATAGATGACCACGATGATGTACGCTCAGTCTGAGCGGGAACGCCCCAGGAAGGTAACATGCAGGGGGCAGAACAACCTCAGAGGAACAGTTCTCGAAGTAGAGATCTGAGAGAACTTTGTGTCCGAGTCCGTGAGATCCATGCGGACGGATCCATGATATAGCATTCGAGGAGGAAACTCCAGAAAAATTCGAATATCAGCTCGATACCGGTGGCAACAGGCTTGAACGTGACGGAGTATGCGAACCACGATTCAGGTTTCCAATGTGCCTCCGGCAACACGCCATATCGAAGCGCGCAGCGACTCAGCTGATCACGATCGTGGTTAAGAAACTGTGTTTGCTTGCGTCGCGAGTCGATACTGGGCGTTAAAGCATCCCCTTTGGGGGTCACCTGATACCGGAATCCGAAGGACGATGTACCTCGCATCGGGATGCGGTGAGACCGGCCCAGCCGCCGTCTTGAAATCGTCCAACATTTTCGAGACGCTTGAACACAAGGAGTCTGGAATGAAATCAAGTGACGTACCATCGCCGGAATGCGACTGAGATCTAGGATTGGTATCGCAGTGTAGCCCTCGGTGTCGTCCGAAGTCGTATATGCTCATGGTAAACTGCATAGAAACGAGCAACATCGGTGGGATATCAGGAATGACTCCGACAAACACGATCACTCATGAAGTTCGATTCAGTAAGAAATTCTCAACCTTCATGAGAAAGGAAATGTAAAAAACGATTTGACCTGAAAATTCGATTCCCGACGTTCTGAAATGGAAACTCGGCAATGTCATCCAGTGAGATGTCGAGTATTTGAATGAGCGACGACCGTCGCGAAGATCCTACCAAGTCATAATCGCTCCAGCCGAAGCTGATCTCATGCTTTCACGAGCGGGAAAACGATATTGGCATCGCGTCGAGCGCCGTCAAAATCATCCCCAGCGGCATAAATGACGACAATGGATCGCGGGCACTGTATAGATAGGCGTCTCGAAAACAGGAATAAATTCGGCTCTTCAAAATTATTCATAAGGGTCATTATTCCATCCTCCGTCGGACCTCGGAACTTCTGCCTGCTAGACATCTAGCTGCAGAGCTCGGGAGGGGGTGTGGAGTGGTTTCTCAATGGTAATTGGGAAAGGGCGAAGAACGCATCCTGGAGTCTTCCTCCCTAGATCGGGCCCGGGGTGAGTTACCCCTTCGAGTTCAGGGTGAGGCAAGCAACAAGGCAGGTCGGATAGACATTGAAACTAGGGAATCTCATCACCTCTCCGAGAAATTCATGCTAGAACTGTCATGAGACGGCGCATAAAGATGAAACATCTCCTGGAGGGTAAGGCCTTGTTGGACACAGATCGCTTAAGAAACGCTCTCCAGCTGCATGATCTCTCTCCAGTTCCAGTTCATCTCTGTTCACTCGGCTCGATCGCTGGCCCACTCGCGCTCGTTCTCATCCTCGCTTCCTCGATTCAGGTCGCAGGCCGCAGATGCAGGTTGTTGCTTATATGTTGTCGTTGCCGCCGTCGTTGTCGTCGTCGTCGTCTCAGCACCGACGCCATAATTACAGGGCATGGAGCAGGAGCAGAAACGGCGGTGTTGGTGGCGGCGGCGGCGGCGGCTTCGGCTTCGGCAGCAGTGGTAGCGGTGGTGGTAGACGAAGCAGCAGCAGCAGCAACATCGGCTGCTTCAGCGGCAGGCAAGCAGGCCGGCCAGCGGCACATAGTCAGCCAGCCAGTTCGGAAGAACGGCCGACCAACGAAAGCGCGGAACGACGGACCGACCGCCGGGGGGAAGAGAAGGCACGCATCTCTTCCTTTCTCCGCTCTTCGCGTTGGTTCGTTGCTTCTTCGTTTGGTTCGCTCGTTCCTTCGTTCATATATCATGAGGAGGACGAAGTCTGCTCGCTGACGCCGCCGCCGCCGTCGTCGACGTTTCTTCGAGCGAGCGAGCAAGCCGGCGGTCGAGCAGGCCGGCCGACCAAACATCCAGCCGGCCAGCCAGCCAGCGAGCGGCTAGCCGCCAGTCAGCCAAACAAGTTCTGCAAGCGCCGCTGGCGGCCGGGAGAAATTTGTCATTTTATGAAGACAGAAAAAGCAGAGACTTCGGTGGCGGCGGCGGCGGCATTGCCAGCAACAACGCCAACTATGTGAGCGCTAGCAGCCAAACGGCCTCTTGGTCGTAGATGGCGTCGTCGACGACGATGACAACAACGAATCTTTCCTTGCTCGCTTCCTTCCTCCCTCCCTTCCTTCCTTCCTCCGTTTGTCCGTCTGTCCCAAGAGCTGACCCGCCTGCCGTCCTCCCATCGTCCGCCGGGATCTGTCTCTAGATCCGTCTATGCGTCGATCCGATCATCTGTTCATAAATCGGCTCTCACTGGCAGTTTCTCAACTCTGGCGTAGAAACTCTTGTTCTACGATTCGCAAACTGTAGCCTCTCCCGGTCGGCTCCCTTGGGAGAGCCAGCGCTCGAAACGCGTCGATCCGGGCGAAATCTGATAGGGAATCGCTCCTGGGTAAAAATGTTCCCCTCATGGAGCCTACGCAGGCCAAGGCTGATTATGATAATTCCATTATGCACCCAGAGACCTCAGAGACCGTAGATCCTCGTCTTTCCAGCTCGGAATTGAGTTGTTCCTTCTGGAGAACGGACCGTTTCTGCTCGCTACGTTTCGTGCTCTTCGTAGGTCTCGTCCTCCATGGATCTGTCCGAGCGTCGGTCGATCCGTACGTCAGTCTACCCTGTTGATCGGTCAACTTTGAGTAGGACTTGCTTTTCTTCTTCTTTTCTTTCGTATTCTTTTTTCTTCTTCGTTCTTTTTTCGAAAGCGTCCAGTGAGTGACATGCCGTGACTGATCTGACGGGATCGTCCTTTCTCTATTCGGCTATGTGTCCCTCTGTATGACAACAGAAACGACGACCCCAACCACGGGTATAATTGAGATTATTGTGATTCCTTCAGAATACTTGGATTCTCCGTCTCTGTGTTTGCTCCAACTTCAACACCTCGTACTTCGTCCGGAATCCTCGCTCGCAGATTTTAACACCGCACCTGTGATTTGTCGAGGGCTCCGCGGGATCTACGGTATCGCGAGCCGTCGGGAATATTGTGTCACGATTCCGGCTCTTCCAATCGCTCAGAGTCCCAATCGGTCACCGCTACCGACAAAAGCTGCGAAAGCGATACACGGTGTTTGGTCCGATTCCCAAGCGTGGTCGATCGCGCTTTGCTGGATTGTTGTTGCTTTCATATTTTTCCTTTGAATTTTTTCCTCTCGTTCGGTCCATTGTGATCTTCGTTTGAATCGTGACCTGTCCAAACTGCAGTTGGTTCTGAACAAAAACCTCAAAAAATATTTGACGTGTCGTGTGTGTCTTGAGGCAGACTGACGAAGTAGCGGCAGTCGAGGCAATATTGAGACGAGAGAAAAAAATGAGAAGAAAGGAGCTCGCCTCACAAGCCTGTGTAGTGGAAGTGGCGGTGGCAAACCTTTATTGAATCGTCGATGGAGTGGGAGCTGCGTTTCTGATTGCGCCGAATCGACTCCGAGTGGACCAGGCAATCGCGAAACACTCAGCGCAACAGGCGGAACTGCGATAATTGTTTCCCATCAATGATGAATCCTCAACGTGAGATGGTGACGATGGGAGCAATCGTTCGGCATAGATCAGCCGTCTCGGGAGCCACTGCGCCGGCTCGAGGAATACAGCGGGAACGATACCTATCGATCGACGGTCGTCTGCGCTTAACGTACGATCAATCCTCCCGAGTCGCGACGTACAAAGCCTTCGAAAGTCGCTGACACCGTCTCCCTCTGGACAGCGTTCCCCCGTGCGGTACCGGCTCGTCCCGATGGATCTATCCTCAGCACTTGTCTCGCTGGATCCTCTTCGGTCCTGAAGTCGGTGAGTTAATCATCAATCGGTCGGCTGTTCGGCCGTCACCGCACGGTAGCGAACACGACGGTAGTTTAGTGACCGAGCATCTCATCGATCGGAGCAGTCACTGTGGAGCTAACCGGCAATTATAAATTAGAAAGTTATAAATTTCTTCCCAACAGGCAGAGGGCGTCGCCAGCTGAGGCCGAGATCGTCATCCGTTCTACCACTTCTTCTCACGTCTGATGTCGCCATGTAATGGATGAACTTCCTTGCTTACGACAGCAGAACTTCACAAAACCCCTCGACGCTCCGGTTTTGGCTCTGTTCGCGACGAGCAGTGAGAATCCGTTTCTGCTCGTAAAACAAGCTTTTAACTTTTGCGTGAGAGCACCTCTTCCTGATTCTTCTGAAAACACAGCTCTGTGGGCAAGAGCGCAGGGTCAATATTGCATCAGGAGTACGAGCCGGGGTCGAACCCTCGAAAACCTGGAGACAGAAACCTGTCGACTCCGAAAGAACCAAGTTCTAGAATCATCTCGCGTGAGCAGAGCTGAGTTGTGCCGCGATGAATCCCGTAGGCTGCGAGGATGCCGGATCTTATGATCGATCTCCGCACTGCGCTTCGCTGTTCGGTCTCTAACCCCGTCCCGTGAGCTCCATGAAAGCCATTTTCCGTCAGCAGAGTCTGCAGCCGTCGTTCGGCGCACTCAAGAGGACCTAAGCGAGACCAGGCAGCTCACTCACAGAGGGACACTGTGCCAATTTGGTTGCTCGTGAGATGACGTTGAAGCGAGAATATAGAAATCACCCGATTGAATGTCGATCACACTCACCGAAGCGAATAGATTGTATGACGGTCCGAGAAACGATCGCCCTCAAAACGGTACAGATCATTACAAAAGATGATGGTCGCTACAGAAGAAGCGAAAAGAGGCGAAAAACACGTACTTCTGACACCGAAGGGACGCCACCACAAACAACAATAACAGCGACAAGGACTCTCGCGCCGTCGGTCGTCATCATGATGATCATCGGAGGCATCATCACGGGAACGATTTTGTAGTCACACCAACGCGACGCTCGAAATGAAGGGAAACCGTATTGAAAGGCTCACAGTCGGTAGCGGCAGCCATGGAACGATTTGGTCGTCCATTCAAGTACCCACGTCCCGGGGAACTACTTCATCAACGAAAATGGAATGAACCTAATTTTCCTTCCGTTTCAGCTTTTGTGGTTCCGACGACGGCCAAAGTCTGCGCAGTCCTGAGAGACAAGATGCTCCGACACATGAAATCCGAGGAAGGAATATCCTCCCACCCGACGCTCTCCGACGGATAGACACCCAGACGAGGGAACTCGAGAAAGTAAATTGAGCTTGACGTCGATTGAGTCTCTTAGACGGTTCTAACAGGCCTCCGTTCAGTTGCTGTGAGCCTTATGTTTGATGATGCGGGTACACTTCGTCAGTTCATTCGTTTGCTCGCTATTCCATTCATTGGGTATACGACAGCGGCGCGATTACTTCCTACAACGCCTCGATCGTTCCGTCGAGTTCAGGTAGCCGTCATAGTCTCTTATTTTGATAGAGTTCGTCTAAGGTTAGTTCAGTGCTCAAGCATCCGGTCCCCCCGGAGGCAAGAGCGGGGAATGGCTCTCTCTCCCCCGTATTTTGAAAAATGGATCGGGAAGACATTGATCGTGTACGGAGTCGACATCTGGGCAGAAGACTGGAGAACCTCGGTCACTTCCGTCCTGACCGGGTCGAAGTGAACCTTGCGAAGGGAGCGAATATCCAATCTTCCAAGAAACGGACGGACGAACGGTCCGTATAGTATTAGGTGGGGCATTCGGTATTTTCCATTCGATGCGATAGGCCACCAGCACAGAGAATCTCTACCCAGAGGGGTGCTTATTCAGTCGACTGGCATGATGATGCCGGGATTATGTGGCTTCCTCTCGACTTATTCGGAACCCCGCGCGAGAAGTAGAGAAGTCCCGCCATATACATTTCTTGCGATGCCGATGGAATGCGTCGCTCGCATAGCTCCCCGAGCAGACGGGCAAACGACTTACCCACAGATGATGCGCTTGATCGCCTTGGCAGGGCTGTTTATTTCTCTGGTGGCAGCCGAGCCAAATCTTGAC